ATCTATTTTACCACATCAGAGTATGGTATATTTATCACACCAAAAGTATGTTTATTGTTGAAATTGCTGAATAGTTAATATAGAATAAAGACAATAAATACAGCAATTTTAACACTTTGTTCTTTGTTAATATAAAATGTGAGCTATTAGTTTTTATTTTGTGTGTGTGAGTTATAATTTTTATTGCAGTCTGGTAAAGCTTTCAAACTTCTTTTCAGAACAGACTTATTTTTATTGTGTGATTTCTATTGGTGTAAAATTCACATGTAATTAAACTTCGTATTAATAGATCCTATTTTCAAACTTAGTTGTAACTGCAGCATGCTTTTTTATCTTTTACATGTCGTAAGGGCATGGCAAGAATTGTTAGGAAATACCTGTCTTGTAAATTATTACTTGAAGACTTTCTTCGGAGCTGAAGATTTTTCTTGCGATTCTTTCAGTTTAGTTTTGTGATCTGTCGAGTTAAAGAGTTTTCTTGCAAGAAATGTAAAATATTTGAATGTATAACGTTCAATTAAGTTTACAGTGTGTGATAAATAAAATTGTACTCATTTCTAATAAATTGAGTTTCGATAAAGAAAAGTTTTATCTTCTGTTTAATGCTATCAGCCGAATATTGTGATCTGCAATTTATAAAGAGGTGTAAGTATTCATTTACAAATTCTTTTCTCGACAAGCCAAATGCTTTCGCTATTTATAATTTTTCCAATCTATTTATAAAAGTTATTACACTTCGTTTGAAAAGTTATTACAGTTCGTTCGATGTAGAAAACATCGAGGAAAATAGACTTAACAGCTATTTTAAAATTATATCAATGAATGTACTCTCTAATATCGCGTTCGAAAATGTTCTCATATAGTTAACATAAAAAAAAAAATAGCGGGTTGAATTGTAAATTGATAAACAACTTTCTCATTTGTAATTATATCACGTACATTTTTCTTATATAACTTATAGTAACTAACAATCTCTAGAATATTTAAGATAAATGTACTTAACAAAGATTTTAATTGCTTGACTAGACATAATGATTATTTAAAACAGACAATAAGCTTGAACAGGTGTCGTCTATACTCGCTTATAGTATAGGTCTGCTTCTACATGCGGGTGGTGCATCCGGCATCATATGTTTTTAGAAGTGAGAATAGATCGTCGAGGTGATTGGCTACTTTTATGTCGAATTTTCTATTGGCATAATGTAAATGAAATTTACAACAACTTCTTAAAACACACCTAATTGACAGATAGAATGTGTCTCCTAAGAGTGTTGCAAAAAATCGTATACAATAGATGTTAAAAGCTGCATTAATTAAAATTACAAGCAAAATGTTCTGATGTTTATCATGTTTCTAGATGTATAATATTTTGGATCAGCATTACATATTATTTTTAAATAAATTAAAAATACAATTATTTTTTGTGCTAATAAAAAATGTTTATTAGATATTTTGCTACTTATAAATTAATTAACGAGATAGCTTAATTAAAGGAATTATTAAGATTTACACAAAAGATCAATCTAATAAGGCATCATCAAATTTATACGGGAGAAAAACCATATAACTCCGATTATTGTTTACAAAAGTTTGCTTACAAATACAGTTTAAATTCTTACATTAAATGTCATAAGCAAATAGATTCTGAATTAATATAAATATCGTAAAACTATAAAATTTGAAAACAAATAATATAATTTCCAACATTGCAGTTTATTCATTTTTTACGACTTTCAGTTTATCTACGAGACAATATAACAAATTAAAAATATATAGTGTGAAAAAAAACGCACATTTACTCCAACGGGACTCGAAACAACAACCCCATTCATATGAAGCCAACACACCCAGACCATACTACAGGCTACGTTGTCCACAATATAAATTATAAAGGTGTTAACTGACTGCGAAGTGACTTGAACGTCAAGCTGTTACTCGTAAGCACGTAATGGTCACGTAGTTATATGCTAATTTTTTAGATACTTATATGTGAGATCACAATATATACATGTATAAAGTCAGTTTTAATGTCGGATATACAGAATATACAAGTAATGCAATTAAAAAATTAAGTGTTCATGCAAACAGGCGGTGACGTCAAAGTCATGTGGCATCTGCAGCCAATCACCGTGATAATTTCTTTCTACTTGTAAGCGCGTGTTGCCTCCGTTCTTCGACGTCATACTCGAGAAGTTAGTGCGGAAACGATACGAAGAAATGGCGGATTCAGCGGTGAAAAGTCGGTAAGTAGTTGTATTGTTTTTCTGTATATAGCTTTTCTATATGTGTGGGCGCAAAATAATTTTTCGTGTTCTGCCATTAACTATCGAATGTGTCTTGTCTATTTTATAAAAATTTAAGAAACAATGCGATGCTGTGTTGCTTTCCAGAGCTTAAAACGTAACGTGATAAATGACATAAGTTGATTCTCGGTCTGTTATTTGTAGTTATTTCATGACATGTGTTTGCGACAAATCAACATACTCTTACTGAATTTTTATGTATAAATTTTCTAAGATATTTAAAGTAAAAGTATTTAATTAAGAAAAGTTGTCTTACTGGAGACAATGAATAAGGAAAACTTCACAATAAGCTTATTCCCAGTGTAAATAACAATCTGTTTACAATGTTCGATTCGACATATTAAACCATAAAAGTGAAACAGTCTTAGGATTTAATTAGCTTAAAATTTCATTTTTAGTGAAATTATTTTCGGTCTTTAAAGCTTGAGTTAATAAGCTTTGTTTACTTTTCAATATACAAATGATTAATACTAATTTTTTCTACATTTACTTCGGATAGTTCAGTGTTTCTCGACATGTAAATCGCGGATCCCTCAGTTCCATTAATTAACTAGTAGGTGAAACGTTAAGTTCTATAATGTAAAAGCGGTATTTATTTGTTAAAGGCAGTTGAATGAATGAAAGAAAATGAATTACAGTTTGTAGAGATTTGATTGAAATTAATTTCATGCAGATATTTTTAATAATATATTTTGTTTGTAATTATTCATATTAAGATGGAAATGTTTTAAAAGAATAGATCTAAAACGTGTTACAGCAGAACATTATAAACGTTATTTGTTCTATGATTACAAGTTTCACATGAAAGTCCCAAATAACATTACAGACAAATTCACTTATTCGACCGGTTTATTATTTATCGGTCTACAAAGCAAGAGAAATCATGTTCAGAATGAATATATAGATTCGACAGTGTTACGTTATACAGTTCTATTCCTTGTAAGCGACCAGGAATCACATGATGACACCCGGCATGGAATAGCCACGAGCAATATGACTCGACGCACTAAACGGGCCTTTAACTGATAACTTATCAGTTTAAGGCTTGCTCTTTTATTCAGTTTTTGATGTAAACTTGTAATCATGCTTTGTGTGAATGTCAGAGACACACGAGAACAAAATTTAATTTTTACTTAATTACGGGGCATCGATGTCTGTTTATTTAGGTCTTACGACATACGAAACAAGTGTTGATGAAAAAAAAGACTTTAAGATTGTATCATCTGTTACTAAAAATTAACATGTAATTGTTCATTGTTTGTAAAATTAGAATTTTCGTAAATCATATTCGGGTCGAGAAAAAATCTTCATCTTCTCCCTCATAACGAACTTGTTTAATCACTTCTTATGATAGATGTTGATTGATTAATATTCTGTTAGCGTGATGATTTTTACTTTGAAGCTTGTATAACAAAATAATCGAAAATTCCAGGAAATCGCAATATGGGACTAGCAATTATCTAATTATATAAAATTACTTTTCTTGACTGACTGACTGATTCATCATCGCTCAGAGCAAACCGCTGAATCTAAAGAGGTAAAATTTGGTACGTCATGAAAACGCGCACTGAGAAAGAATTTTCCGAAATTACCAGGCGGAGGGGAGAGGATTATGGCTTAACCGGAAGAACAGATTCTACTGTACTATTTTAGATGCGTATTTTCGTTACGTTTAATTTTTATTGAGTACTTAGATGTATTAAATTCATAACATTTCAGACAATGTTGTAAATATTTTTATCTATTTCGATTTTTAAAATGTTCGAACCGTTTTAAATTCGAATTTGTTATTGATTATAAAACGTTTGTAAACGTTGCAGAAAATTGATCAAATTTAAAACATTTCCCTTGATTCTCGGCAATTCTCATCGTTCTCAGCGGTAGGTGTTATATAACAATTACTATAGTTGTTGAAATACTAAATATAAATGGGGTTTGCTTGCAAAATCTTCGCGGGCAAAGCCGTAGGTAACAGCTAGTTAATTATAACCGTACAGTATACAATAACCTATACACATATTCAGAATACGATAAGTTACGAAAAAGTCAATTTTTGTTCGTAGAGAATAACAACACAATTCCACACGAATCCTGTATTATTTGTATTTTTTAAAAGAAAAACTGTACACACGAGTTTGTTTCTTTCATTACCTTAATTATTTTTTAATTCTAGTCGGGGAGTGATAAAAGAAGTATCGAAAATCCATTTATTTAACAAGAGGAACGTCGATAAATCGTCAAAAACTATACACATAGACAGAAATCTTTACATTGAAAAAAGGTCACTTTGATATTTAATTATCAATAGATATTAATACTAATAATACCTCTAATCTATCATACAAAGTGTCTCCATTAAAATATGCAGGGATATGTTTATTCTGTTAACAGGATTTTATTTCAGGCTTCGTTCCTCCTCAGTTTACTAAGAAGCATATCCTGAAATACTTTTCTGTTCATAGAATAGAGATGTCTTTTCTTTCAAAAGAATGCAGCGTTTCCTGGTACGATAGCTCCTAAGAAATAAAACTTGAATTTTGATGGTTTCGCGATAATTAAGATGATTTGCTAATACAAAAAATTTTAGTATCTATTTTTAAAATATTATTCATGCAGTTATTGTTCATACACCATTGTCATAAATACTACAAGAACGTACAGTATGACAGAGATGTTTGTTTGAAAGTAATGATAAATACCTTTTTGTTGTTTAGGATTACTTCGAGTGAGATCCGAATCCGAAACGGAAAAGACGAAGAAATTATTATATCAGAAGCTGAGTTAAACAAAGTCCTGAACAGGCAATTGCAACATCATATTATATATTTTGAAAATTCGAAACTACTGCTTATGCCTTTTCCAATCCTGATCATCTCACAATTCGTTACGTAAGTTTTTCACGATACTTACCTTTACTTTTCATACATTATAGTTTATATTTTTTAAACAGTTATTTACAGACGGACGATCCCGGATTGACCTCTTTTACACACGCGTTCGATCTGTATAAATTGAGTTTAAGATACGAGTTAGACGATTTAAGAAAGAAATGCAGATTATTTATTATTCGGCAAATAAACCTGAATACCGTCTGTGCAATCCACGATTTTGCACGTGAGATCGATGATCTAACCATAGTTTATTATTGCTGGATAGCTTTCAACCAACACGGAGAAAGACTATTTAAGACAGTCGACTTTATGTGCTGTAAAATCGCAACAATTGATAGACTGCTATCTCGAGCGATATATGAATCTGTCAGTGAATCGCTTTTACTACACGCCGTGTATAAGTGGAGCAAAGAAGAAGTTAAAAGAAAATTGGGTGCAGACAACTTCCATTCGATGTATGAAGAAACGAAAAGAAACGTAATAAGAAATGTAATGGAGCCATTTATTGGAAAAGTCAGATTTCTTGCCATGAATGAAGAAGAATTGCAATCTTTTGTTTTTAAAATGAACTTGTTAAGCCAAGTAGAAAAGAGTCACATCTGGCATGCTTTTAAGTATAATTATTATTCCTTGTATCCCAGTTACTTCAGTTGTGAAACAAAAACCAGAAGCGGAATGAATTATCGTAACTTGTTCTCGTACATAAATCGTGGAGATCCTCTTATGGTCGCAAGCAGAGAGATGAAAGATTACATATTTTTTAGCAGCGAAGTAGTTGTGAGGGAAGATTGTTACATCACGGTTTTTCGATTTCCAATGAAGCTTGGCGAAAGTTTTCCAATGTACGTATACGCGTATATTAACAATGTGGATAATGAGTGTTTTTCGTTTGAAACCGTTTGTAATCCACGGGGAGTAGCAAATCTGCAAACGAAGTTGTATCTAGAGAAAAATTGGTCAATTCGTTTCTTTGCTTTCTTTCTCCGCGCTGAAAATGTCCAACCCGATATGGAGTTTTCACCTGAACTGAGTTACTTTGTTAGCGACGAAGGAACAGATGCAAGGAAATTTGAGGAAAAAATTCTAACCTGTGACAGAACCGTTATGAAAAATATTTACTTTTTGGTTGATTTATATTTTTGAAGTCAAAAGTTTTTCTGGAGTAAAGCGAAATCTAAACGAGAACATCAAGTTAAATTCGAATATGATTATTTCTTATTATATCACTGTAAACTTTTAATAAAATGTGTGTGTACGTGAACAGCATAATGAATTTATTGTTTTTACAAAAAAAAAAAATTTAATTTAAAGTGCTTATTAATGTAATTTTTCTTTTCTATATGTATTTTGTCATTTATCGAGTTGTTTTTAATTCAAAATTTAGTATTTGCAAATATATCATCATTAAGAACGTTTATAATTGTCAGCATTTGAATGATAATTTCGTGCCTGATTTCATGTTTTTATTAAAGTGGATGTTTGAGAAATAAATATAATTAGAATGTTACCGCATTAATCTTTTCTTTCTTCATGTTAATGACGATAGAAATATGAAAAGTTAAGAAGAATTTTCGTCTAAATGTAAGAGCTATTCGATATCCACATTTGATTACAAAAAATTAAACAATAGCAATAAAAAATCCTGTTAGGTATTTTTATGTAAATTTTAGATACAGATAATAAATTTTCAATTTATAAATCATGCATTTTTAACGTTATATTAAATTATTTAAACATAAATTCTTATATTTATATCAATATTTTTTCTTTGATTTAAAATTTGTTAATTACCTGAGGATACACAATTATCTCCAATTTAATTTTCTAAAAAAAATGAACAAATTAATTTTGTATTATTTAATATTAAATTCTTGAATAAAATTTTAATGTAAATATTAGAATAGCTGTAAATCACTTTTTCCAAAAATATTTACAGTCGACCCCCTTATAACACTGTTGATTTTTCCGTTTTATATGAATTCCATGTTGTACGAGTCACTTATATTTTACAAATACGTGTGCCGGGCTGTGAACGGCACACATATTTGTAAAATCTAAGTGACTCGTACAACATGGAATTCATATAAAACGGAAAAATCAACAGTGTTATAAGGGGGTCGACTGTAATTGCACAGAGCTTGATTACATTGGTATCCTGGCTAAGAAAAATTCAAAATTTAATATTTTGTATAAAGCACACACAATAGAAATTTAATATAAATTAACTGATATGTAAAAAATCATGTTTTCATTTGTTTTGTAGTTTAAATCATACATATTTATAGTTTTCTGAGGTAGGTAAAGGGCTTCATCACTTTTAACACTGCTTTTCATAGTAGCGAATAAGTGGACTTCTTTTTTCATATCCATTATAGAGCAACCCGATAGTCAAAAACGGAACCCAACATGTTAATTTTGCTTAGTTAACTAACTTTTCGTCCATCCTGTATTTTGATATCAAACATTTCAAAATCAAAAGTTTTTGCATTCATTTTTATGGTTTAATGCTATTAAACCATGAAAATTAATTAAAAAGGGCATAATTTTAAAAGTCGTTAAATTTACTGTAGTAATTTCTATCTTAAAATGTAAAAGAATAATTTTCCCTCAATTTTTATCTCGTTATTTTTTTTTTTTTTTCCTTTTTCTTTTTCAACAATATATTGCAACGTTCCTGCATAAATTAGCAATAAGAACAAGATTCTGACCGTAATAAATTTAATTCTTAGAAGTTCTGTAAAGAAAATTTTTTTAAAATTTCCATGTTAAGGGTCATCAAGGCAGACAGACCCATGTTAGATGAGTATGTTCAACGTAATCTTATGAAAATAGCCAACGAAAAACTTCTGTAGTTCTTCGATTGTCTGCGTGCCCCGAAATAGTTATCTCCGCGAACCGCTCATATTAATATTCATAAGATAACACTTACCACAATAAATTCTGGAGCTTGGTCAAGTGTATTTGCATCTACATTCTAAAAATTCAAATTTATAAATTTACTAGCTTACTTGGCCTCACCCGGGATTATGAAAGAAAGTTTGAAACATAATAAATTATTAATTTTACGAAAATACTATTTAAAAAGAAAAATATCCGAGTCCTTAAATGTAATAATTTAATTTTAATATCATAAAGAATGCTTTTCACAGTATAACTCGGAAATGTAAATATGCTTTTAGGAAGTCTTCGGAATATGTTAATACAAAGTCTGTTCAAAAAGTATCGGACCTTTTTTTTCCGCGTAAACCAATGATGCGCGAGATGCCTCCTTTGGTGGAGTTGTGAAGGGGACAGTCATGCACAGCCTTGAATTTTTTCTTGCCTGCAGTCGTTGACAATCGGCCTATGAGTGAGGTCATGTAGTGCGCTCTCGTCGGACTCCACTAAGCTGGAAAATGACTGAACAACGTGAGCAGCGATATTACATCAAATTTTGCCAAAAACCTTGGCGATACCCGAGCGTAAATCATTCGCAAGATTCAGCAGGCTTTTGGGGACCATTCTCGAGGACTAAAAAATCGCGGCAGGTCTGCAGCAACATCAAGGTCATGTTGACAGGTTTTTCGACTCTCGTGGGGTGGTGTGTCGTGAGTACGCACCACAAGGCCAAACCATCGCAAAGGAGTACTACCAGGAGGTCCTTCGTCGTCTTTCCGATGCTGTGCGACGCAAACGACCGGATCTGTGGTCGATCAAAACTTGGTAGCTCCATCGTGATAACGCATCCGCACGTTTTGCGCGTCTGATTCGGGCTTCGTCGCCAAACACAACACTCCTGTCGTTCGTCAAACTCCGTACTCTCCTCACATGGCTCCGTGTGGCCTTTGGCTATTTTTCAAGCTGAAAATGCCGCTAAATGGAACCCGAATTTAGTCGAGAGAAGACATCGTGCAAAATCCGACGGAGCGGCTGATGGCCATTCCAAAAGATGCGTTCCAGCAGTGTTTCCAGCAATGGCAGGAACGCTGGGAGAAGTGTATACATTACCAAGGAGACTACTTTGAAGGGGATTAGGGTTTTGTACCTCAAAATCAATAATTGTATTTTTGCCGACCAAAGGTCCGATACTTTTTGAACAGATCTCGTATTTGATCCGCATTGAATGGTTGTGATGGGCCAGCTCATGACTCATTTTTACAACATTATCACTATGCCTAAAACTATGTGAGAATTACGGCCTTAGAAAAAACGCGTATAATAATAATAAATTATTAGTATTAAGAAAGTACCATTTGGAAATGAAACTACCCGAATTGTTAGATGTGAAAATGTAATTATTTATATAGTTTTTATGGTGTAACACTTTCCACCCAGGCAGGTGAGTGCTTTTTACTAATGATGCAGTAATAATACAGAGCGCCTATTGGATCAATTTTGAATGCAGATGTGAGCAAGGAACTGTCCATTTGTTGTTCACTTCTATTCCAGTATATGCATTGTTAGTTTTCACTTTCGTTGTTGTGAGAAATCCTTCACTTTCTGGTTTTGACCTTCTGTACAGTGAATAGCCATCATTTCCGGTTTCAGTTTCCGCTTTAAAAATTTGAACCTTATCGAGAGCTTCATAAGTCTGTCACAGACCCTACTAAAGGTCTTGTATGTCGTTCCCTTTTCTCACTCATCTGACTACAGTAGAGCGTCGTTTATCCGAAAGTCGGTTATACGAAAGCATTCCAGTCGGCAAATTTAAATTTTCGCTGGTGCTGTGGCGCTGCAATCTTTGGCTATATCTTGGGCTATTCTAATATTTTTTGTTAGTGTGTGTGTTTCAGCTGGCAGCACTGGCACTTTTGTGTGGTGTTTTTCTGAACTGGCGGCTAAATTACAGGACGATTCCGTAGCCGTAGTTCTGGTTTTTACCACGAGATGTCGCTAGTGTCGTGGCGTTCAGGTAGCTTATACCCAGTGCCGGCCCGAGGCAAGTTTTAGGATGGAGCGAGATCCTATTATGGCGCCCCCTTGGTTGCCCCTAATTTATACCCGTTAATTTTCTTTACCACTGAGGCGCCCCCAGGATTTAGCGCCTGGAGCAGTTGTTTCGTTCGCCCTATGGTAGGGCCGACTCAGTGCAGTACGTATAAGCTACACAAGCTATAACTTAGGGCCACCACTTTCTTGGGAGCCCACCAAAGAATTGTCCGAGTGAGCAATTGTCATATATACTTAAATATACTGCAACATTATTTGTCCCAATGCCACACGTCCGGAACGTCCCATACTCTTTACCCAATTTCAGTTTAACCCTCTAGATATCCGAAAATCATATTTGGCACTGACATATCATATTTGGACTTATAAAGGGCCCCATATCTCAAATAGCTCAGGGCCTTATCAAGTCTAAATCCGGCTCTGGGCCGACTCTATTAGAGACTACAGTAGAACCTCGATTATCCGCCCCCCGATCAACCGACCCCTCGGTTAACCGACCGTCCTAGTCAACAAATTTCAAATGTCCGCTAGTGATGTGGCGCTACAATATTTGGCTATGTCTTGGCTACTTTAATATTATTTTTACGTGTTTTAGCTGGCAACACTCATTCGACCATGAAAGGGAGCCAGTATTTAAACGAAGCTTAATTTTCTAATTTTTAACGATACAATAGCGACGATTATTATTTTAAAAAATTTTTGTTAGGCTTAACATCGATGAAAATTCAACGCAAAATAGGTTAATAGCGATATACTAATATACTAATTACATGGGATATAATAATATACTACACTAATAATGGATTTTTTCATACTTTTTGGTTATCCGACTTTTCAATTATCCGACCAACCCCAGTCCCCAATTAGTTCGGATAATCGAGGTTCTACTGTATAAGGAGGTATATCGGCAAACTTCCGATGACGGATGAATTTAGTTTCATCATCGGTCCTTCTTCTTATATACGGGGATCCTTTTCTTTATATCTTGCCCATTTTTGGCAATTTCTTAAGCCTATGTCCAATAGCAATTATTTTAAGGTTTTCGGTAACACATTCAGAGGGTGTGTTACCTTTGGACAAGTCCGTGGGAGACGGTATAATTATATTTTTGTGTGTGTGTGTGTGTGTTTTTCTCTCTTTCCAAAAGATTTGAATAAAAATTTTTGTCAAGTCCGGGCTCTCACACGTTAATGGTAGTTAAGTCATTAATTAATTAAATAACAATAATTTATTATTAAACCTGTAATCTGTTACTATTATTTTTCATTAGACGCAATCGGCATTCGGCATTCGGCATTATATTTAATAGTATTAAATAAAATGTGACAACAATAGTACAAAGTTATAGGTTTAAAATTTTTCGAATTGTAGCCCAATAATTTTCCCATAAATGCAATATTTGCATAGTTTATACAATCTGTTGCCAACATTTTAAGAAATTTGTTATCACATAAAAGTAATTATTTTAGCATTTTTATAAGATGTTTTTTTATTTAAAGAAGTAATATAAAGTCTTTCGGACGTAAGACTTAGCAACTTCGTTCACCTGTGTAGCCACCGACACAAGTCATTTATCAAATATTAATAGTAAAATGTTAATACTTAATAACTTTATTAACTAGTATTAAATGAGTAGTCGTTGATCATTCTCTCTTCCGGGAAGAGGTCAACGATTACTTTTGGTCGAATTAGCTTCGACCCCTTCCGCAACAGTTCCATCATTTTATCAATTCACTTGTACGGTGGCATCTGAATATAAAAATTACAAAA